CTTCCTTCCCCTTTCTTTCTTTCTTTCTTTCTTTCTTTCTTTCTTCCTTTCTTCCCCCTTTTCTTTATTTCTTTCTTCCTTTCTTTCTTTCCACTTTCTTTCTTTCTTTCTTCCTTCCCCTTTCTTTCTTTTTTCTTTCTTCCTTTCTTTCTTTCCCCTTTCTTTCTTTCTTTCTTTCTTTCTTTCTTTCTTTCTTTCTTTCTTTCTTCCTTCCCCTTTCTTTCTTTCTTTCTTTCTTTCTTTCTTTCTTTCCCTTTCTTTCTTTCTCTTTCTTTCTTTCTTTCTTTCTTTCTTCCTTGCGGAAACCAGAGGAAAAAACAAACACAAGAAACATCCAGATGATGTTTTATTATATTGACAGTTTTCCTATGGCAAAAATGCCAACATCGCTCCAATCAGAAATTCACTTCATGTTCATGTTCTCTTCAAATTCATGTTCACTTACTGTTCGGACGTTTTTGCATGGCCCATTTGATGTCGGCGTTCCTCTCAATCACTGTACGAATATTCATTTCATTTATTTAAAAAATGCACTGTGTGTTTAAAAAACCTCTAGACCCCGCCCATTACAGTGTGAGACACGCCTTATGCCGTCATGTGGGAGGGGCTATATGAACAGGACCAGCCCCTTTCTAACAAAACACAACGCCGAGTCTCTTCTCGGTATCAAAGGCGATTATCAATAACGTAGATCGACTCCGGGGCCCAACACGGAGAAAGGTAATTTTATTTTTCATATAACCCATGAATGTGATCAAGGATGCTGTGAGGTTTTGAGCGAAAGCACATGGATCATGCATTCGCGTCTTTAGCAATCACAGCGTTATTAACGACGTTCATCTAAGGTAAGTTAGTCAGGGATTGTCCTTGTATTCAACCCCAAAACGCACCGCATTCATGTTAGTCATGCATTAACCTCCATAGTATGAAATATAGGTCATTGCATGCGGATCTGCGGCTCGCGCGTGCCAGCAGCCATGCACGCTGCCAGAAAATATGGTTCATGCTCATGTGAAATGAATGCCAAATTGCATTTAAATATGTATTTTCCCATGACACCCCATCCTTGTAAGTTGTCGTTAGTAGGGGGATTGTTTCACTGCGCAGATGACTTGTAATCATAATAATATGTAGGCCATATAGGTGGATCCCGTCTTTGTCTCGCGCCTGAGCACCAGAACACGAGCGACTCATTCCTCCAACTCTCAGCCAGCTGTTGGTTTGAGGCCAGACACTGATTCCCAGGACTAGCCAACTGTTGTCTTTGTGTCCAGAAATGAGTCCCCAAAAACCACAGTATGAGTTTGAATGCTTAAACTGCCCAAGTGTATGTTTCTAGAGCTGCACTGACATGCACAAGTAGAGTCAATCTCTAGCTGTCAAGAACATGTCCAAGGCCTATCTCTTCATTTCATTAAAGGAATTGAACATGAAAATTATGCTTTGCTTAAATAAAAGTTTTTTTACTTAATGACATTGTTTATGACTTGTAAGCAAATCCTCTGATTCGCATTACTGTAATCCAAAATCAGCCTAATCATGATTTTGTTCTACCTTTCATTTATGCTTATCTAGATTAAAGCATTGCTTCATAGTATTGGTTGTCCTGAATGCAGCTCTCTAACTGACTATTAAAGAGAATCTTGTGACTGACCATTACAGTCATGAGAAAGAATGTGAAATGCATTGTGAATTTTGATGGGAAAATAAGCATAATAATAAAATTGGCATAATGCAAAGAAATGGACCAGTGGTTTTGTTGTGAAATACAATGTTTAGATTTTTGTTTTTAGAGTTGTGACAACTTGCTTAACTATCATAATCTTAATGCAAAGAAAATGTCAGTCTCTCTTTAATGATTTAAAGTATTCATCCATCACAATGGTTTTTGTGATGTTTTTTTCCATTGCTTCACATCAACAGGAAAAAAAATACTCCATAGAGAAACATCCAGATGCATTTTGGCTATGAAAATCTGAGGGAAAGTTGTCATGAAAATCTTTCACAATCTTTAATAGACCTAAAAGTCATCATTTTTGTGTTTTCTCTTTTGGATTGAATTATTTGTTATTCTTTTAGTGTTACAGTAACTCAATTAATTCATTGTAAATGCAAAATATGCCACCTCTTTCATATTGAAGCTGATATTTTGCTTATGCAGTGACAGTGCAGGATGATTATTACGTCCTAGAACCATTTGGAGAGATTTGCACAAACATGGGCATTGGCAGGCATTTGCATTGGGTTTGGTCAGTGGGTTGCATGGTTCTTTGCTCAGCAGTGCAATGTAATACTTCTAAAGGCCTTTTTTTTTTTTTGCTAGCACTCTTCTCTGGCTTGCAGACACATCTGCAATCCTTGTAATCACTGCTGAGCTGTCCTTTTCTAAATGATGTGGTGCTTTTCCGTGCATCAGCTTATGTTAAAATGAGTTTGCCAAGCCATGTTTCCTTTGCAATCCTCCCTTAATCTTTTATTGCCATTAAATTTTTTTTTTTTTGATGGACATTTAGTTGGTATGAATTTTACTAGCAATTGATTGTTGCTGGTTGATTATTGGATGCTTACATGACCACTTCCATTCTCAGCAGTATATGAAGAGTTTTTTTTACCACTCAAATGAATTCTGATGTATTCAGATTGGTCAAACTGTGATTGCTATAAGCTGGATGCCAGAATCCAACCAAGTAGATGTTTCTTTTTCATTCTCTCTCACTATCTGTAACTCTTCCACACGTCCTCTTTTTCCCTTTCTCCTCCTCCTCTTCTCGCTTTGCTCCTCTCTTGCATCTTTCTGCCTCTTTGCAGGTCATGGACCAGGAGGGAATCGCATGAGATGGAATGTACTTGATGTGCTGCATCACTGTTGAAGGTGAGCGAGACTGTCAGCTTTTTGAAATCTAGATCAGCCTGCATTTGAGGACTCTATGTAGTTGAATCATGCTGTGAACGTTCCAGTGTTGCCTAATCGTAGTGATTTAACCTAGTTTTCTGCTTGTTTTGCTTGTCTTGTTTTTGTATCATTCTGGTATTTCTGGCATGGTGAATGTTTCTCTGTTAAGGGTTTTGTTGGAAGCCTCTTTTGCTTAAAATTGCGCTTGTGTGTTTATTATAAAAATGAACAGGAATGCAGTGTGTGACTTGGCATTAAAGGAATAGTCCACTCAGTTCAAGCTCTGCCATTAGTCACTCACTCAAATGTTGTTCCAGACCATAAAATAAGATATTTTAAGAATTGTCTCCATTTTGGTTACAGTTGACTTCCATTTTATGGACAAAAACCGTCTGGTTGCCAACATTCCTCAAAATAGCTTTTGTGTTCCGCAGAAGAAAGTAAGTGATACAGGTCTGAAACAACATGAGGTTGAGTAAACCATGACCAGTCACAACAGGTTTGATGTTCTGTGAATAATGACTTCAGTTTTGTTTGGTTGGTTCCTCATGCAAAGCTGTTGTATTTTATGTTTTTGTTATAGTGTTATCATCAGTGGTCCATATTTTAGGGTAAACTATTCCTTTAATTTACATAAAAGCAGTTTTTGTGTTTAAAATCTGCAGAAGAACTGCATGTTACATCTGCCTGGAGAGTATCTATTGAATTATGTGCCATATGCACATATGTAGTTTTATTCAATCTGTGGGACATTTTGGGGCTATAATCATGAAAATGCAGGTATTTTCCCCCTAAATGATCACATATGAAGTCTCAACCGAATCTTAAAGGGATAATTCAGCCAAAGATTAAAATTCTGCCATTTACTCCCCCTCAATTAATTTTCTGCTGAACACAAAATAATAAAAACATTTTGGGGAGAATCTATCTTTCTTAACATGATACTGTGTTGTCAACTTCTTGCAGCTGCATAAGTAGAGAATAATCTCATTCCAAGATGGAGGCAACCAAAATACTGCCTGTGCTGAAGAAGAAGCTGGCCTTTCTGTCAGGTAAATTCCAGTAATACAAAGTATTTTGCGATTTGATGCTAACTTAAGTGTTGAATTCATGATTTTAATGTAGCGCAGCAAAAAAAAAAAAGTTGTGTCTCGTAGCTAGGGCTGCGCAATTAATCAAATTTCTAATCGCAATTACAATTATGGATGCCACAATTATGTAATCGTTCAAAGCGGCAATTAATCGTTCAAAGGCCACTTATGTTATTCTGCATGCTTAAGATGCATTTTTTTCTTTCTACATGTTATCTTAAGGGTTTTTCCCATTATTTTAATTTTAGTATAACATTATAATACAATTCATATTTTTACTACTTTATAATTTAAAGAAGAAACCAATCCGATGTATAGTTGACATTTGAGGCTTAATCCTATAGAAAAGCACTACAAGTTTTTCAGTTAGTGTTTTAAGCTTGTTTATTTTCATATAAAAATACGGCATGCAGTTGCATTAAACAATGGTATAAACATAATTCAGTGTAAATTGTGATAATCGCAATTACAATTTCAAGGGAATAATCGACAATTATGATTTTTGTCATAATCGTGCAGCCCTACTCATAGCGTTACAGAAATGTGTTTGCTGCAGGGCTCCTTCCTATCCGGTGTAGTCCGTGATGTGAATACTCTATTCGCATTTCATGATTAGATGTGACTATAAGCTGCTATCCGATAAAACGGACAGTGCCAAATGATGATTTGAAACCCTTCACTTGCTTTCTTGTTTGCTATGATGGACTCCTGTTTGCTTTACATATTTGTTTCAGAGAGTGTTAGCAAGGCATTTTTTGCGGGGCAAATAATTGGAAGTATTTTTATTTGATTTGATTAATTATTTACGCAAGCTGGACTCCAAAGTGCCGTTCATACCAAGGATAACTAAAATGATAACAATAAAGTTATAGTTTTTAAATTCAAGATATAGTTGATATTGATGGTGTTGCCGAGTTGTACACTTCACCCTCAGACCTCATCTCTGACAGCAATGCCACATTTGGAAAAATGACTTTCACTTGTATGTTCTTTAGGATCTTATTTTATATGCCTTCCGAAATTCAGTATTATCAGGGTATGAGGCTGCTTTGTCTTTTACCATAGACTAATGGTTGTATTTTTGTGTCAGCATGGTTCTTGCTTCGAAAAAAGTCTTCTGAATGCCACTTACATGTCAACAAGAACATTGGCAAAATGGACTATAAGTTCTTTGAATTATTATCATCTTGTTGAGATGCACTGTGCCTCAACAGTATTTATTTTTGCACTAAATTGGATAATGAAAGCTTCTACTGAAGCATTTCATGCTTGGTGTCCTTGAGATGGTGCATGTTCCCATAGTCAGCAGCATACTGTGCATTAATTGTAGGTTGCGATGTCTCCTGTAATAGCTTTTTGTATTACTTCAGTAATGTTTTTGTCAATCTTTTCCTTAAAGCCTCACACTCTGACACTCTTTTTCCATTTGTACGTCATATTTCATTCTGTGCTGCTGGATTTTCTGCATATTTCCTGACTCGGCCTGTTTGGTTTTCCAGGAGGCAAGGACAGGCGCAGTGGTTTGATCCTGACCATCCCACTGTGCACCGAACAGACCAGCATGGAGGAGCTCAGTGCCACCCTGGATTACCTACTGGGTATTCCCAGGTAAAACACAGCTTTGAAAACCTTTCTTGAAATGAATGTATTACTCCATTGCAAAGGCTGTATATCAAGCAAGCAGCTGTCAAAGCATTGAGAACAGAAATGGAGCATTAGTCTGATCACTGTAATTATAATGCACACTGTTACGGTATTCACACATGGAATGGAAAGTGGCCATAATTCATAGTCAGACTGTGGTTAGAAGTTCAAAA